TCAGGGCTGGGAGGGGCCTGAGAACAGGGGATGTCAGGGCTGGGAGGGGCCTCAAAAATCATTTAGATCTTTGAGATTTAGATTTAGATTATCATCTTATTTTACAAAAGAGGTAACTGAGGCCTAGAGCAGCTCAATGACTTATCCAAGGTCACACGCAGTGAGTTTCTAGGCTGTCAAGGCCCCTCTACAGTATCTGGCATCTTGCAGTGAAAGGTCAATGGGCCAGCACCAACCCCTCCTCCTTAATTAGACCCCATAGGGAAATGGAGGCAGTCTCCTCTCCTCCACAGCCCTTTGGGCCTGAACTGGTTCCCTCGTGCTTCTCCTAAGCCACATTCCCTAGGCAAGAGCGTGGGCTGGTACCCAAGGTCTGGGGACATCATTACCCCTTGGGGTGCCCATGTTACATCCTCCATAATTGTAACTTTGCCACGAAAGGAGATGCCCCTCCCCAGCTCCCACCAGACCCCTTCCACAGTCCCCTCTCCAGAGTCCTCCTCTCTCTTCAGCTTGGGCCCGTGAAGCCTCTGACCGCCCCGGAAGCAGCCTTTCTTCCCTGCCCATTGTCCTCAAACTCCTGTCTTCATGCTTCTCCTATGATGCCTGTTGTGTGGGACCACGTGTTGAGGAATTCTGGGAGCCTGAGGTTCCAAGAAGTCCCTATCAATTCTGTCAAACTGCCTTGTCACTTCAGGACCTGATGGAATGGGACCCAGGAGGCCCTCAGCCCCGAGGCGTCCCCAAAGACGAGGGGACATGCTGGACGTGGCCTGAAAGCTTACGTGAAAAATAGGATAAGAACTCCTCACTTGCGGGGCTGGTGTTAGGGAAAGTACTTGGTAAACTTCAGTGTCTAAGAGCAATGGGAGTTATTATTAATTATTATTACTAAGTTTTCTGCGTTTGTGTCTCTTCCTTATCCTAGCCCATGAACTTCCCAAGGGCAGGGGCGGTATCGCCACTACCCTCTGCACGGCCCCCAGGCTGGACCACAATAAGCTCCCCTCAGGAGATGCTCAGGGAGCAGACGGTCCTCCTTCTTACCTTGTGGGGTCAGCGGTGGTGCTGCTGCGGGGTTCTGAAACGGTGGGTACGGTTTGCTAGAAAGAGGTGGGAAGGGCTGCCCTCCAGGGGGGTGGGTCTGTGCAGGTGGCAGTGGGTGTTTCTGCAGGACGGCAGGCGGGAGGAGCGCTTTCAGCGGAGTGAGGATGCTAGGAGTGAGCCTGGGGAGGGAAACAGAAGTGGATGAATTGTGGGAAAGGGAAGACGAGTCACGGCCCAGAGGGGACCACGGTGGTGGCGGTGGGGGTCTCTTTCAAGGTCCTTGGCTAGAAGAAGCCTGGATTTCTGCTGATATCCCACTGCAGATTTTTAAAAGCCTCTGGGGGATAGAAAGAAGGAGCAAAAGTTAGGGAGACAATAAGATGCATACTGGCTAGAATGTGGTCTGAAAGACTGGAAAGGGTCTCTGAATGCTGAGTGATGCCCGGAGGAACAGCCACGGACCGCCATCTCTAAAACATTCTAGTTTGACATTCAGTGCTCCAGATTGTAATGTTTTACCTTCAAAAATCCCTTTTATCTCTGACATTCTATGTTCTCACATTCTGTTTTCTGAAGTCCCTCCCAGTTCTAACATTCTCTCCTCTAACTTTGCTCTTGGATTTTTATGTTCCAATTCCATACTTTCTGTTCTAAGGAAACTCCTACTTCTGACACTGTTCTAGGCTGTCCCCCAACTCTGGGCCACTCTATGGGTCTACATTGTTGGGATTTATTCCACAAAGGCCCCTCCACCCTGGAATTCACAGGAGCCTTGAGGAAGGTCTCTCCTAAGCCCTCCCCTTTCCAAGAGTGACTGGCTGGTCCCCAGGTGTGAGCCAACCCTCCTCTTCCCTGACCAGTTTGTCTTCATCACTCTAGGTTATATGCCTAAAAATGTCTAATCACTGTCTGGCTGCACAAGCAGCAAACTCATTAGCACTAATGACCGGGCTCCAATACCAAGTTTAGGGTTTCAATTTGTTTCAATCAAGTGAGTATTTTCCCCTCTGCCAGTGAGAAGGCAGACAGAGGGCTCCTCGGGCTGGAGGCCAGGCCTGAATCCCAGCTGGCTTCCACGTCAGCTGCCCTCTGCCTTCAGGAGCTGCCCTGGCACGAACTGGGCTTCCCTGTTCCATCTTCCCAGGGAACTCTGAAGTCACCGGCAGCAAAGGGGGAGGGAGGCCAAGGGGTCCTGGGTAGAGACTTCAGGAGCGGGTCAAGAATTAGGCTTTTGCTAGCTGTATGAACTTGGCCAAGTCATTTCTGTTTCTGGCCCTCAGTTTCCTCATGTATAAAACCAAGTGGTTGTACTAAATGAGTTCTAAGCTCCCACCCAGCTCTGACTTTCCCTGTTCCAAGGCCCCTCCTAGCTCTGACATCCCCTGTTCTAAGGCTCCTCCCAGCTCTGACCTTCTCTGATCTCATAGGCCAGCTCATAATCGACTTTGTGTTATTATTAGTTATATCTGAGTCTCATCTCTGTTTGCTATCATCATTATTATTATTACTATTGAACTCCATAAGGAAGCAGGAAGAGTGTCTGGTAACATCCACCTTGATCTAAGTAGGGTGAAATATCTGTAGGACAATCTCAAAGAAGGAGGTTGCCCAGTGAGCCCAGGCTTGAAACCACGTGTCCAAGCTTCATGACCTTTCCACTACATCCCATGGCCCCTCTCTCTAAAATGAGAAAGAAGAAAGAGGTCCTGGAAATGAAGACCTAGCGACATTCTAACTTGCTATGGGACCTCTGACGAGTGCCGCCATTTTCACTGGTCTGAGCCTTGGTGTCTTCTGCTCGGTATACCAGGCTCCCTTCTAGAACATTCTAGGTCCCGAGCTTGCCTCTGGCTTGGACATTCTGTCCGGACATCCTCAGCCCTAAGGTTTTATCCAGATTCATCATGCTGCCAGTCTATGAAAGAGGCCAGCAAAGGGAGGGCTTGAAGGCACCTCGAGAAGGAGAAGGAGGAGGAGGAGGAGGAGGAGGAAGAAGAGGATGAAGATGGAGAGGGCTGATCCTCTGTGAACTCCCAGAGCCAATCCTGAGATAAATTACAATGAGCTCTTGGCTCTGGTTTCAGCCGTTGGGGAGATCTGGTTCTGGTTACCAGCTTCAGAGCTCTGTAAAGCAAACGACGAAATGTTCGTTTGTGTAATAGATTAGAGCCAGGGCTGATGCCCCCCATGAAGCCAAGACACGATGAAGGAAGATTCTTTGGGGTTCTCTGAAGGGCCGTAAAAACGGTGCCGCTGCTGAGGCTGAGCTATGCACGCCCTACGGAGAGGCACTGTTTCCCATAGACAGTCACGGGAAAAGCACAAAAAAAGTCTTTTCTAACTGCTTTTGTCTCTATACCCCCAACACAGAGCACTTAATACACGCTTGCTGACATCTAACAAATGTTTGCCCGCTCTTCACGATGATATCTATGAGGCTGGTCATCATTCATCAATCGCTGGTCTGCGTACCGATACCAAGTCAGCTCAGAATAATACCCACTTTGAGTTACATACCTGGCGGTGACCAGTGACCTCCTCTTATTGGACAGACTGGCTAGAGTGGGGGAAGGGGGCGCAGGGGAACACAGCCCCAGCTCTCCTGCACAGGCTGTGAGGTCACCATGTGACCTCCCACAAGGGCTAGCCAATAATGGACCGGTCATCAATAGGGGATGGATCCCCCCTTCCTAGAGGCCTTCAAACAAAGACTAGTCCTCTTCCCCACCCCCAGGGGGAGACAGGCAGTCCAATCGTTAAACAGCAAAAGAAAAACTAACGACTGTTCCCCAAGATAGAAGAATGCACGTCTGGCTTAGTGGGGAGAGGGGTTCTACTCGTGCCATGGGGATGGAAGTGCAAGGAGTTAAGAAGGAAATGAGAGGTGAGGAGTATAGACAGTCTTTCCTAGGAATGCAGCCCTGAGGGAGAGGAGGGGACGTGAGGGTGCAGGGAGTTTTTAACACTGGGGAGATCTGGGGATGATGCCTAGCTGGGAAGAGCCTGAGAATTCAGAGCAGCGAGTCCCGAGGGGCCCCTTTGGATTCCAGGCTGGTAAGCGAGGGGCCCTTTTCAGAATCCATTTGGCAGGTGAGAAATCGGGGAGCCAGGACGTTAGAGCCTGCTTGACTGCAGCTCCCGGGATTCTGGGCACATCACCCGCCAGGGTGGGACGGCTCCCTTCTGCTGCACCCTGAGAGGAGCGCACCCAGCCTGGACTCGTGGGGCGGGGAGCACATTACAGATTTCCTCTGTAATATATACTGTCTCAAAGGAAGCTGGGGATTCTCCAGTGTAGAAATGGGCAGATTTTAAAGGACTTTCCTGCCAAACAGAAGAGTTGACATTTATCCTGCAGGCCCTGGGGAGTCCTTGATACTCCTTCGAGAGGAGAGTACGACCGTTAGCTCTGTGCTTTAGCAGTATCAATTTGGCAGCGGTAGGAAGGATTCTTTCTCTGGGTCCCTTATTGCTTTGAGGAAGTGGGTCAAGAAATCAGGGTTCTAGCTGATTAGGCAGAACCTCTCTCAGGTCAGGATGTTCTGAGAATAAGTCAATCAACAAACATTTAACGAGCTTTTGCTGAATTCTGGTGACTATGCTGGGTCCTGGGCTACCAGGCAGGGAAAGTCCTTTAAAATCTGGCTTCAGCCTCCCTCGTTTCTAGCCTTATTACACATTACTCTCTTTCCTGTACTCTGTGTTCCAGCAAAACCAGCTATTTGCGGTTCCCTATACACGGCAGTCCATCCCCTGTCTCTGCCCTTATATAGGCGGTTACTCAGTCTAGAATAGCCTCTCTGCTCATTTCTACACTGGAGAATCTCTAGCTTCCTCTGAGACAGAGCTCAGTCACCACCCTCTGTCCCAGGCCTACTCTGATCTTCCTCTCTGCATATCCCCTTACCCAAATGACTTTTCTGGTGTTTGTTTTTTATCCCCATTTGTGAAATCACTGAGTTAGTCAACAAGAATTGATGAGACATCAAGTGTGTGCCAGATATACTAAGTGAGGAGCTCGGCATACAAAGGAAAAGGAAGAGAACAAGCATTTATTAAAAGCCTACTATGTGCCAGGCACTACGCTAATCACTTTACATATATTATCTTATCTGAAAGACAAACATGTGGTCCCCGCCCTCAAGGAGCTCACAGTCTAATGGGGACATAACAACATATAAACAACTAGGTACGTACAAGATGGGCCGCTGGGTGGCACCATAGTTCATACAGCCCTGGGCCTAGGGTCAGGAAGACTCATCTTCCTGAGTTCAAATCTATTCTCAGACACTTAGTAGCTGTGTGACCTTGGGCAAGTCACTTCACCCTGTTTGCCTCACTTTCCTCATCTGTAAAACGAGCTGGAGAAGGAAATAGCAAACCACTCCAATATCTTTGCCAAGAAAACCCCAAATGGGGTAAAGGAGAGTCAAATATGACTGGAAAATGACTAAGAGACAAAAACATCCAAGATACAGTGTAAACGGGAGGTGATCTCTCAGGAAAGGCATCCCCGCTGGGGGACATTGGGACAGGCCTCCTGCAGAAGGTGGGATCTGAGCTGAGTCTTGAAGGAAGACAGGGAAGTCTTACAACTTACAACGTAATCGTCTTAGAGTGTCCTGGGAGCACGGGAAAGTTAAGTGTCTTTCTCAGCTCTACAGCCAGGATATGTCAATGGCAGCGCTTATGTTCTAAGGCAGAGAGTACGAGCCGGAAGGAGACCTCGGAGCCTTCTTGGAGAGCTAGACCCCGTCATCTTACAGAGGAGGAAACTGAGGCCCAGAGAAGGGGATGGGGATTTCTCCAGGCTGCCCAGGGAGTTGGAGGCAAAGCATGGCTACAGGCCAGGTCTCCTGATCCTGTATCTGAGGCTCCTTCCATGACCCCAAGTGGCCCCTCTTCCCTCACCTGTGGGCCTAATAAAGCACAGCAGAGATGCCACACAGCAAAGCCTGAGTTGGGGGATCTTGGGGGGAGGCCATCCTCAGCAGCCCATGAAGCATGTCTGCATTACAGAAATAAAAGCTGGATCGGGCAGAGAGGCTCCTTCCTTACGCTGGCATCTGTGGGGAGCAATCCGAATGAAAACACGCTGTGGAGTCCCCGCCTTGTCTCCAGCTGCCCCCCTCCCCAGCTGCCTTTCTCCCGACACCTCCCCAGGCATTCTTCCCAGAGC